TCATTCAATCAGAAATTGTGATGCCACCAGGACCAGGTCATGAATGCTCCTGCTTGTATGAAGATGCTCTCCTAGAGGGCCACCCTAGGTGGTCCCAGGGCCATGTTCAGTGTTCAGTTTCATTCTCATTTGAACTTCCTTATTTGTTACTAAACACACTGTTCTACATGAGTTGCTCTTGGGGTTTTGGGGTTGTCAGCCCTTGGCACACCGGTGTACAGACCATTGTGTTCTGCGGTTGTCTACGTTTGGCTGAGCTGTCGGTCAGCTTTGATCCTAATGTCCCTTTTACACGAAGATTGGAAGCTTAAAAACTGTATGCTTGAGGAGGCTTCTGGGTAGCTGCTGGACTGCCTTTTCCGCTCCTCAGTCCGTGAGCCCACAGTCTCACCCAGGGAAGACATGGACATGAGCTCCGGGGAAGAATATCCAACTCTCCCGTAGATACTGACCATTGTGGTGTTTTCCTGGAAAAAATCCAGTGGTGAGGTCAAGAGCCAAACCACGGACTGTATCTGTGATCTAATCTTCCAGGCAGTGTTTTCATTGTAGGATAGAAGCTGTTTGCCATAAATATGTCATGAATGGCATCGTTGCAGGCCTCAGGAAGGCTATTATTAGCTTGTTTTAACATTTTAGATAACAGATACTGTGTTTCCATTGTTTAATGTTTTTATTGTAGAAAAATCCAAACATGCCCAGAAGTTGAAAGTCCGGCAAACCCACATATACATACTTCAGCCAGCTTCAAGAGTTGCCTACTCATGACCCATTTTGTTCTGCCTCTGCTCCCAGCAACTCCCAACCCCCAGCGCCTGGATTATTTTAAAGTAAATCCTGGACATCCTGTCATTTTATATGAAAATATTCAGAACATAAAAGAACTACATTATTGTCACACCTATGAAAACAAAAACTGGTTTCTTACTGTGCTCACATATCCAGTTAGTGCTCAATTTGTCCTAGACCCTGTTTTTATATCACCTCCCCCCAAAAAATCAGGATCCAAATAATGTGATCCTCCTGAATGTGAGGCCCTCCCTGCACACGCTGTGACAGTTTTGTTTTCTCCCGAGCCCTCGGTCCTTCACGTTCTGCTTTCCTGTCTTATTGTTAACACTGTTTATTTCACTTGATGCTGTCTGCCTGCCCTCCAGCATGGAAGCTCCACACAGGCAAGGGTTATTTATTTATTTATTTTTGTTGTTGTTCTGTTTTCTGCCCTAGCCCTGCCCCGGATAAATGAATGAAGATGCCATATGGCAGAAACGGGGAGGAGGGGCTGTGACACAGACTGTGAGGAGGAAAGTATCTCCATTGATTTCTCATGTCTGTCAGATCAGAGATCCCTATAAAGTTCTGTGAGGGACCCAGGTGAACACCTGTGCATGTCCTCTGTGATGGACAGGTTCTCTGCAGACTCCAACTTGGCCTGTTGGCCCTGTCACCCCATTGTAGGCTCAGCCCTATCTAACAGCCATCAGCTGTTTTGACTGGTTTTATCCATGGAGACTGTGTGTTGAGTAGGGGGCCTGTACTCTTGGACCCCAGCCAACAGTATGCAGAGTCATTTGCTTCCCACAAGCATGGTAGTGGTAAACAGTATATCAATTCAGAACATGCTTCCCAACCTTCAGTATGGTTGGGTCATGGTCAGACGTGAAAACCTAAGCTGGAAGCTAGCAGGAAGAGCCTGAAAAAGTCACTGCTATGTTATCAGTCAGCAGTGTGGCATTGAACGCATCCGCTACTGTCACTGTGCCGTGTTTCCTTGTCTAGAAAACAGGCACGACGTCCTCTTGCCTCCACAGGGTTGTTGGGAGTCTTGTATGCTGTGCAGTGACACTAGGGTTTTAAACAGATCCTCCAGCCAGTCTGCTCAAGAGGGAAGAATTTTGGCTGCTATAGGTGAGGTCAGGGTAGCAGAGGCTGAGGACAGTGGCCCAGCAACCTGAAGGGAGGGAATAGGGCTGCATTTTGAGGCTCCCTTGCTGCCTTTGGGGGACTGAAGAAGACTTACCTGTACACTATGTTAACTGTATGGATTTGGTGTACCTCTCTCCCATCCCTCCCCCCTCCAGGGGCTTTGGCAACCCCAGCAAAGAGTTGTGGAGTAGAACGAGGGACAGAAAGTCCTCTGTGTTCTGACTGTATTCCATGACATTGTCTAAAGAGCTTTGTTTCTGAAGTTCTTGCCATAGTTGCGTGTCAATCGTTTGGCTCTGAAGTTCTGGCAATTCTTGCAATTCATCTTCATTCCTAGAAGTGTGAGGCTGGGAACATGCTTTTCCAGTAAAACGTGCAGCACCCTGTGAAGGGAAGTACATACACAGGGTAAGAATTCCAGCCGGCCCCTCCCGGGCTTCTCCTTCACTCCACGGATAGCATTGTGTGTGTGTTTCTGTCAGGTGGAGAGTTCGATTTTTACTGTCCCCTCCTGGGATCAGACCAGTGGATTTAGATTATTTTCTAGTCTCTATGAAATCCAGAAAGGACCCCTAATTTTTTGTTTGTTTTTACTGTATAGATGTATGCCATCCAGTATGCTAGCCACATATCATATATAGCTATTTATTTAAATTAAGTTAAAATTAGTAAAACAAAATAAAACTTAAACCCAGCTCCTTGGTCACATGAGCCACACTTGAAGTGGTCAGTAGGCAGGGAAGGCTACTGTGTTAGAGAGAGCAGAAACATATAGAATGTTTCCATCATAGCGGAAGGTTCCTTTGAACGTCACTGTAAGTACTATTCAGAGATTAATGAGTGCAGGAAGCAAACATCTACGCACTTGGGAGAAGATGAGTGGCACACCACGGAAAAGGGGGATTGCAGGTTTTGTCTCTTGCTCTTTTCCTGGAGAAAGGAACATTCCTCAAGCTGGGCAGCAGTGGCTCACGCCTGTAATCCTAGCTATTCAGGAGGCAGAGGTCAGGAGGATTGAGTTTCAAAGCCAGCCCAGGCAAATAGTTCAGGAGACCCTATCTTGAAAAAGCCCATCACAAAAAAGGGATGGTGGAGTGGCTCAAGGTGTAGGTCTTGAGTTGAAACCTCAGTACTGCAAAACCAAAACAAAGAAAAATAAAAGAAATAGCCTCAAAGTAAATTATTTCTTAAGGGAGATTTGGGGTTTCCCAGTACATTCTGTTAGAAGGTTGGACCTGGAGTGCTTTCAACTGTTCAGTCACTCATCACTTTTGAGCACATTGATGGGAACCCAAGGTACCTCCATGCTCTGCTGGAAGGTCCCTAGGGGGAAAATGTATGGTTAGAAACTTTCATAGCAACTTGTGACTTCTTGAGTTAGTGGGGGAAAAAACTTTTTTTAAATCATTCTTGGTTTGCTATTTCTGATTCTACCAGAAGAAGAAGAAAAAAGAAATCTTTAATGAATGTTCTACAAGCTTTTCTGTTTCACTTACTAAGATCTTAGCAGCAGAGCTAAGAGTAGACGAGGCAAGGAAAGTGAGCCCAGGGCACAGGTTCATGGAGATTCTCTCTCTCAGATGCTGACCCGCTGGCATGGGCCTAAGAGTGAGTGTTTTCTCACATTTTGTGCCCTGAGCACCTGGCTTGCCTCGTGTCAGTCCCAACCAGGGCCAACTTTGGTTGGGCCCACTTCCCACTCACTCTGGCAGACTTGCTGTGTGGTTCTAGGAGTCCTGGACTTGTACACACAGAGCTCTTGCACATATACAGCCTCATTCTGTGTCTGCATCCTTCCTGAGCCCTCGGAAACTTTGCTTTTTGTTCCTGACCCAGCGGGAGGACAAACACAATAGACCTCAGGTGTTGTGGTCATAGCGTCCCAAGGAGCCCGCCATTGAGGAAGACTGTGCACTCAGGCGGTGTAGCGTTCAGCGCTGGACGTCAGATGCTTGGTTCATTTTTCCCGTAACGCCGCTCAACTTCTGCTAAAGATGTGCCGCCTTTCAACAGACCTGAAATTTTCACTTATCACTTCAGTCAAGCATAGTAAACTTTTGCCTTTTGGAGTATCATTTGCTTTTGAGGAGACAGATTTTCACAAAAATAAAGGTAGGGAAACACTCAATAGATCACACAATAATTTAAACGCAACACAGAAGAGCGCAAGACTGGCAGAGCTCCTCCACGTTAACTGAGCTTTATGATATGCGTGCAGGAATGAAAAATTCTGTTTTTGAAGTTTCTTTTTATTTGTTTGTCTGTTTGGTTATTTATTTATTTATATCATGTGTGGTCAAAACCACATGTAATAAGCCTGTGAATGAGGCAGGCCCCCTGTAAGTGGCTCCCACGTCAATGGATGAAGCAGTGATCTCCTACCAGGGATCAACTCAGTGAATGAAAGAGTAAAGACAATGCTTAGCTCTGTTCAACAGCCTGGTGACTAGAGTTCATTAGTGTACAGTGTAGTATATTCTTGAACATTGCAGAGAAGATAGATTTTAAGTCATCTAACCATAAAAAATAAGTATCTGAAGGAATGTATTCAGTTATCTCACCTTAGCCATGCCATAATATGTATTTTGAAACATATCATATATGATAAATATATACATATATGCTTTTGTCAGTTAAAATAAATAAATGTTAATAATAATAATGAAGAACTGGCTTGACTTAGACTTTTCTTTTGAGTTCGGAGAACAGCTCATATTGTAACTGGGAGCACAGCTGAGGTCTCTGGACATGGTGAAGCTGAGACCGCCCCGGGACAATGTGGCCATGGGTGGGCTCGTTTTCCCTACTTGCCCTTTCCCAGGAGTCTTTTAGTGTCAGGCAGAGTTACCTCCTTAAAAAGCTCTATCTCCAGGAATGGTTCTCCTTTCTTCCCTCCTTTCCCCTGCTGTCTCCAGAATCTGTGTCACATGTCAGGCTGCAGCTTCCTGAACCATGACCAGATTGTCCTAAGAGCACATGGCTGGGCATGGGATGTTGTGATCTGGGGAGGACTGGGCATTGGAGGTCCCTCTGTAGATTCTATATCACACGTTTTTCCTTTCTGCTTCCCACAGAGCGTATTGAAGAAGAGGGACCAAGTTCAAGCAGAGTATGAAGCCAAACTGGAAGCTGTGGCTCTAAGAAAAGAAGACCGCCCCAAGGTCAGGAAAGCCACCAGCAAGGGATGGGCAACTATGGATTTATAATCTCCCTACTGGTGCTAAGTAACCCTCATCCCTAGATCTGTACCACTAAGGTGGCCAGTGGGGGGGGGTGAGGGGGTGGGATGGTGTCAATGTTACTGTTTCCATTTTTTTTACTCCCTTTTATTCATATATACACATGTATATTTTTTCTCGTTAGTTCCATACACTGTGTGGTGTGGGCGCCATTATTATTCCCATATGAGAGATGAGCAAAGCAAGACCACGATCTCATAGCTAGCAACCAGCAGAGCTGGGATTAGTCCTTGCTGTCCAGCTGGACTCTTGCCCGCTACCATTCTGTTGTTCTGCTTCTTCTTTGTTTGTAATTAGGCATTGTATTTGTTCTCAGAGAAGGAGTGGGCATAGGGAATGTTATTAAAAAGATAATAGTAGGGACCCAAGTTTCAGGCAAATAGTTTCACACCAGAATGTTCCTTCCTCCTTCTCCCCCTCCCTGGAATGGAAGCAGCTTTGGGAATTTGAAACCCAGATTTCAGCGATGGCACTCCTTGGTTTTTATATTAATCGCATCACATAATTGCTGCACTAGTCATCCAAGGCCCCGAGGAAAATTGTTCTTTCTTCATTTCATAGGTGAGGAAATGAGTCATGGAGCTGCTCTATAAATTGCCTGGCCTCTTCAGTGCCAAATGTCTCTGCATCCAATGTGCCATACACAGCAGGCATATAATAACGTGTTTATTGTGTTGATTCATGTGTCACCCGTCGTGATCTTCAGCGGTGTGAACGCTGCCTACATCTGTGGAAAGTAGCACAGCACAGGGTCCCTTGCCATTGGCCCAGTGCATGTGGCTGGGACTCCCCTACCACCTTGTTTATGGGCTGTCACAGCAAGCCTGGAGGGATCCTGTGAGGGAAATGTAGCCAGGTGCACAGCTGCCCTCTGTCTCTGCTGCCTGTCCCACTGGCAAGTTTCCAGTTGTCCCCAACATACTTAGGGACACAGTGCCATGTGCTGAGCCCCTGTCTCAGGTCCTTGCTAAGCAGGCACACTACCACTTGTGCCATGCCACCCTCCCTTTTTGCATTGGTTAGGTTATTTCTGAGATAGGGTCTAGCTTTATTCCCTAGCTGGCCTGGGCCACAGCCCTTCTGTTTGTGCTTCTCAGTGTACACAGGATGTCAGGCTCACAGCTTCATGCCCAGCTGTTGGTTGCAATAGGGTCTTGCTGACTTCTTGCCTGAGTTGACCTCAAACCATGATCCTGCTGATCTCCATCTGCCAAGTAGCTAGAATCGCAGACTTGAGCCACTGCAACTATATTTAATTTTTTTCCTTCTAATAATTTAGTCCCAATGTGAAGATAAGAGTTTACCTCACAAAAGACAAATACCTTGTTTGCCTGTGTAATCTCACATATGAAATCTAGAAAGGTTGACCTCATACAAACAGGGTAGAAGGGTGGTTGCCTGGAGATGGGGAGTTGTCAATTAAAAAGAACAAACCTCCAGTTATGAAATGAATGTGTTTTGTGGATTCATGTACAGCATGGGTATGATGGGTATTGATTTGATTATGGTACTCGTTATGTAATGTACACATCAAATCATATACCTTGAATGTATATAATTTTTGTTAATTAAATATTTTTTAAAAACCCAGAAATCACTTTCCTTAGCTAGGAGGAAGGAGAGCTAGCAAGTCTTGCCCATGGCCTAGTTTGGAGACTAAGGAGCCTACCTTTGCAGGTGTCACTTAAATAGTTCTGTCAGTGTTTGTACATGCTTGGCACTGAATACAAGCTTTTTCAGAGGCTACTTTGGTCATTTAATATGTTCGGCCTATCCCAGACACGTTTGTTTCCAAAGACAGAAGATGAAGGTTATAAACAATAGGCCCAAAAAGCCTTAACTGTGCCTGGCATGCTGACTGTCAGAAGCTCACACTATCCTTGGCACAATCTTGGACAGGGAACAGCTGATTCTGGCTCCCTTGTACCAGCCAGCCCATCTGTGGAGACTTCCCAGCCTCATGTTCTTGCTGGTGTGGGAGACTGCTCTTCCCAGCGTCGACTTCTTGTCCACAGGGCTAATCCTCTTGGCGCAGGAATTTTTGTAAGAGAGGAAGGAGTTCTTTCCAGTCAATGAGAATAGTAGGCCCCCCCACACACTCTCTCTTCACACACTGCATAGGCCGTCTTTGCCTTCCTCTTTCTAGTGGGATGGTGAGCCATGCCAAAGCTGATTTTGTTATGTGTTACCTCAGTCATGATATGTAAAGATGAAATAGACCACCATGATGGTGTGTCAGTACATGTCAGCCAACCGCAAGGCAGCAGAAATTGTGCACCTGTTGGATTTGGGGCAGCAGCTACCTTGGCCGGCAGAGGAAGATCTGCTGGCAGCCTGTGCAAGTTTACCATGGTGTGGTAGAAAGAGCCCAGGATTTACAAAAAGAAGGCCCTGGGTTCAAGGGCAGCTTGGACCAGTTTGCTCAGTTGTGGGCCTGAGTTTTCTCATACATGTGGTTGCTGTTACAATGTAAGGTGCTTAGCATGGCAACTGCTGTAGTAACATGAGCCTCTGCTGCCCATCACAGCTCTCGGTGTCTCCAGTGGGAATGCTGATGGAGAACTTTGTTGCCACCTATATTTTTCGAAATTTTTATTTTGCTTTTTTCAGACCATGATCCTTCAGACATGTTTCCTTTTATCCTTGGCTTCCTCCACTTCCCACGCACCTCTCCTCCCTGTGCTTTGCTTAATGTGGTTTTTAATGAGTCACAAGCCAGAGCTGCTGTTGATGAAATAAAGCTAGGGTATCAGGAAGTGGGTGAGGGCTGATTCTATACCAAGGACCCCACCAGTTCCACTGTTGGTAACTGATCATGGGAGAACGTTGCTAGCAGGTCTGAGGTAGGGATGCAAGGAAGAAGAGGGCCCTGGGTTTGGGCATATTCACAGAAGATCCAGGGGTTTTCTGGATAATTACTTCATTTTAAGGTGAAAGAGCTAGGGAAAGTTGATTTTTTTTTTTTTTTTAAGCCATGGAGTGGTATTGAAACCGAATCTCTTTTCTGTTACCCAGAGAAAGGAAATAGCCTCACAAGCTCCATGACACTCTCTTTAAATTTCAGATTGGGGTAGATATGTTAGGATGGAGGAATCTTGAGATGGCATTTTAAGATAAAGGAGGGCACCCCATGGCTCTGCCTGTTGGGCTAGGATCCCTGTGGCTTCTTAGCATGGCTGAGGGCAGGGGATGAGGCCTCCAGAGCGAAGTGAAATATTAGTGTAAAGTATTTCAAGTTCTGCTTTGTTTTTAGCAAATGGAACTCTGGATTGTGTAGACTTTGTTTTTCTCTGTTAATTTTGAGGTTGAGAAATTAAAGGCACTTGGGAGGAGGGCACTACTGCCTTTTGCTGGATCTATCAGGACTAAACTTGCATAAACCTTAGAATTTGACCGTCTTTAGAAACTCAGGAGAATATCAAAGCTGTTACTGGAAACAAGAAAAGGCCAAGGAATCACATTTAAAATTAACCAAGTATCTGTGTCCCTGTGTGAATGAGGGCAAACTGTAGAGGGAACTTTTATATTTCATCCTATTTGACAGTCAACTCTGTTTCAGTGATAATGTGTTCAGGTATCATTAGTTCAAAAATGAAAAAGGAATGGATGCCAGGAGAGATGCCTTACAAACTTTTAACAGTTATTTTCAAAAGGTAATAAAAAAGGCAGGAAGGGGCTATTTTAGTCCCTAACTTATAGTGGCATCATCCTGGGTACAGTGCCAGGTAAAGAAGCAGTTTGAGATTGGCAGTGTCTGAGTGGTGGTGAGATGTGTTGTGGGGAGGTGAGTGGAAGAGGGGGTGTGGCATGTGGAGGGAGCAGGTATGCCATGAAGGTGAGTGGTCGTGATGTGCGAGTGTGGCACGTGGAGGTGAGTGGGAGTGTTTCATGAGGATGGGTGGGACAGAAAACAAGATATGGAGCTTCTCAGAGTGAGCAGAAGTGAGGAAGGCAAGTAGGAATTGGCTCACTTGAACAAACCTCCTAAAATCTGTGCACCTTTAAAAACTTGTAAAATCACCAGCCTGGCTAACATTCTGGAACAGGAAAGACATAGCAGGCAATAAGAACTCTACGGTACCCACGGGGAGAGTTACTGGTACGGAGCTCCTGTAGACCAGAGAGCTATACAAGGGTATCAGTCTTCAGACATGTTTGGCAAGTGAGGAGAGAGATGTTTTCCAGTTCTTTCCATGGCAGCCATGATCCCAGCCTGGGTTAGAAAGCCAGACACATCCAGCCAGAGGAAGGCAGAGCTCTGTCATCTTCCTTTATCTTCTTTCATTCCAGGCCTTCTGTCAGTGTGGTGGTTCTCATTTTACAGATGAGGGCTAAGGGAATTGTATAACTTCTGTACTGAAGCCAACAAATATGTAGCTGGTATTGAGGTCTTTTACCTCTCACCATGTTTGTCCCAGTGGTCTTTGTTCCATCAAGGTCAGGCTCTGACTTTTACAAGCATGTAGAGATGAACGCAACAGAGACTGGGAAAGACTGTGGATGTGTGACTCCTTAACTTCTTCCAGTTATGGTGCAGGGCTGCTCATGGTTGCCCAGTTCTCATTGTATCTGCTCTGGATTCATCTTAGGCACTTGCTTCTCTTCCTCCTCACCTGCCATTTGCTGAAGTTTGTGTTTTACCCTCAGTGTTTTCTCAACCTTCACTTTACAGCCCACGTAGAAACTGAAAATACTTGTAGGATAAACAGACAAGGTTGCTTAAATCTGGAAGTGACTAACCTGGGGGCTCTGACTCCCCAGAGGGCCATGGGATCAAATCACTGCTGCTCAGTCTTTGCTGGTTAGGAAGCTCTGCCCCACCTTCTCACATAGCAGCATTTAGCTGAGGAGGCCACCATTTTGAATTAGTTCTGTTGTTGGTCCTGGAACCTGTTTCACAGAAGCCATGAGCTTCCCTCTCCCCAAAGTCTTGGGACTTTTGTCTTGGGAGGTTTTATTAACCTATTGTCATTGTGGGAACAGATAATGTGACAACTCTGACCCAGCTTCACAAAGGAAACTTAGGTAGAGATTTATACACTAGGTCCTGGAAATGCCCCACACATGGCAAGAGTTTAAGAATACATTTTTAAATGAATGTTGAGTGAATGTAGGCTACCACTCTGCTTCCCACACACAAAAACTCACATTCTCCTCCTACCTGAGCCTGTCCCAGCACTCCAACAACCCATATTCTGTAGTGGAAATTCTCATGAGAGATATGGGAACCTATGTGAAAAATGCGTTTTTGTCCTCTATTTAGAAGTTTTTACCTTTCGAGGTCATCTCTGCTGATTTTCTTTTCTTCCCAGTGTCTTACAGAAGGCAACACCTAACCGTTAGCATTAAATATTTCCATCTCGACATCCTTCAGACACAAAGAAGTTGTAACGATACCTCAATCACAAAAATGAAAACATTGGGATAAGAAGATCTGCTAGAGGTTACTAGTCAGTAAATTGTCACAAGAAACAAAAGTGAGAAGAATGCAAGCCTGAGTGTCAGCTGCCAGCAGTCCTTTTGTTGGGCAATTCTTGTTGGGCAATTTCAAAAGCTAGTCACTTCAGACAGCTCACTCATTTCCTCTTACACTCTTCTGTTAAGTTATCCCTTCCCCCTCCTGTAACTCCCTCCATCCTTGGGTTTCTCTGGCTCTGTTTTCTGTTCACCTCTTACTACTTCTGGGCCACCTTTCTTACTGGTCTTTGCTGAGTCCTTCATTAATTCTATAAATATAGGCTTTCTCATAGTTTTCCCCAGAGTCCCTGCCCTCCTCAACCCCATCTTTTATTCCTCACATATATTTTTAAAATTTTTAGTTACAGTAAAATATACATAGTACAAATTTCACCATCTTAACCATCTTTAAGTGTACAGTTCCTAAGTGTTAAATACATTCACATTGTTTTACAACTGATCTCTAGAATTCTTCATCTGGCAGAGCTAAAACCCCACATCCATTAAGCAACTCCCTATTTCTACCCCCACTCCTAGCCTCTGGCAACCACCATTCTGCTTTCTGTTTTTGTGACTTTGACTACTCTAACTACTTCAAGTAAATGGAGTCATGCAGTATTTTTCCTTCTATGACTGGCTGATTTCACTTAGCACCATGTCCTCAGGGTACATCTACATTATAGCATGTGTCAGAATTTCCTTCCTTTTAATAAACCCCATGGTGTTTATTCATAAATAGCACATCTTGTTTATCTGTTCATCCGTTGACATTCAGGTTGCTTTTGCCCTTTGGCTATTGTGAATAATGCTGCTGCAAACATGAGTGTATAGGTGACTCTTTGAGACCCTGCTTTTGATTACTTTGGATATATATATATTCCAAAGCAGAATCCAGCAGGATCATTAAGTGATTCTATTTTTTAATTACTTGAAGAACCTCCACACTGTTTCCCATAGTGGGAACAAGGGTTCCAGTTTCCACATGTCATCCAGCCCTTGTCATTTTCTGTTGTTTTGATCGTAGCCATCCTAAGGGGTGTGAGGTGGTATCTCGTTGTAATTTTGACTTGTATTCCCTTAATGATTAGGGATGTTGAACATCTTTTCATGGGCTGCTTGTCTCACCCTTCGCATGAGGACATCTCCCTTCTTGCTCTGGTCTTTATCTCAAACTCTTGGTGACAAGAAACTTCAGGCTCTTCTCTGGGTCCCTGTATCATATGGCTCATGGGCAGTTATTGCCAAAACTGTCAGTTGTCTCCACCAGCTTGCTTGGTTTAATCCATCCTCTACCATTTATGGCCACCACCCTGGTTCTAGAGTGCCTGGTACAACCTCATGCTAATATATACTTTGGTGCTGACTTATCTTTGATGTCTGGTGAAATCTCTGGGTGGGGTAGGATGGCATACAGTTTGAAAGAACATATGTAATAATATATAGTATTCATTTGTAAAATGAGAAAGAAGCCATTTTTGTAACACAAACAATGAGGCTTAGTAAACTATTCTTGACTTGAAGGCTGTGCAAATGATAGATCCTTTTGTGACCAGCAATTCACATGGATACCGATATGATCTAATACACATTTATTGAGTACTTAGCATATGCCAGGCAGCAGGTGCTTTGCCTCATTTAACATCATAACAAGGTAGATAGGATGGTTGTAAGGTGGATACAATGGTAAGGTGGATAGTATGGTGGATAGTATGGCTATCCAGAAAAAGATAAAGAGGTGCAGAGAGGCCCAAAGTCACACATCAGTAAGTACTAGAGGTGGTATTCAAACTGGGGACACTTGGCTCTAGAGCTGTCTGCTCTAGCTAGAGGAAGTACAAGACCTTTTCTGTTCCTCAGAAAGGGATATAAATTAAATGGGCCTCAGAAAACTTGATCTTCAGGAACCATTCTAGACTGCTCATCTTCTACCACTGCTGATCATGCCAGCCCAAGAGAGTTCTCTTTATGTGTCCTTTGTGGACACCAGGCCTGTGAGCTGTTCTTTCTCCAAGTGGATCCAGGTGTCTTCTTAGCTCTTTCACTTGCGTGTGCTGTCACTCTGAGTGCCCTTCTCCATCACCACTTTTATCATCTTGAAGGTGTCATCTTAGGGCTGTTTCCTCAAGGAGGCCAGACCCTTCACCTGGGTTGGACTCCCTTGTCAGCATGAAGTGAAAGTGCTTGTGACCTCTCATCCTAGAGTTCAGGCTTGTTCTCTTTCCTTTCAACTAGACTAGAGGCAACTGGAGATAGAATCTGCCAGTTGTAACCTAAATAGCTTCCTATTTCTCAGTGCCAGGAGTGTGTATGGTATAAAGATGGTAACGATGATATTTTCCAGGTGGAGGCTCAGTCATAAAAACCAGAGCTGTGGCTTTGACTCTTAGTTGTTGTGGGCCACACTTCCCATCTCCAGAACAGAGCCTGGGAAACCCTTCCTCTATAGGAAATCCTTTGGATCAGACCTGCCTCTTCTCCCTCAGCCTCAGAGGGGTTCTCCTTTCAGGGCTTTGCTTTTCCTTCTCACTACAGAGCTTTTGTTAAGTAAACAGGAAGTTGCTGATAGGCACTTCTACACTAGATGCTAATGGGAATGGTGGTGGCCAGGAAGGGAGCAAGGAGACAGGGCTGTGCTGCAGGGAAAGGAGGCCTTCTCTGAGACACCGTGGTTTATTGGACACCATGGCTCACTTGGTATCCATTGAGACCAATTTGCTGGATGTTTGGGGGTAAGTGGACCTGGAAAGGCAAAGCCAGGGTTCTCTTGTTTTGTTTTCAGATCCCCCTCCAAGGTGACCAACAACAGTGCATATGTGAACTGGGAGTGACTTTAGTCACAGCATCAGAAGAAACAGTCTTTTCTTTCTTCTTCCAGGAGTTTAATTTCTTTGAAAAAGTCTTATTTTTCTCTTTCAGAGTTCTTTCTCTTGAGTTGCCATGATGTCTTTCTCACTAGCTCATCCTTGTCTCACCCAAGTTTAGTTCTCATGCCAGGCACACTTGAACCCCTTTGCCTGGGATACACTACTTCTCTTGTTCCTATGTTCTGCAGCTGTCTCTAGATGGTCAGTGTGGTGGATGGCCATGTGTCTGAAGGTGTTCAGCACCCTTAGGCTTGACTTGCCATGTTATTTTCATTCTGGTCAACTCCTTGCCCATAGGCTTGAGAGTTAAACTTCCTTCCTTAATCAAGATTGACTGCTGATGGGGACCCACTTCCCACAAAGCTTCATTCACTCCTGGGAAGCATTTCATGTTTACCCCCAGCCACCATCAGGACCTGGCAGAGCACTTGAGTTAGGATGGAAAAGCTGGCTTTCTGCTTTGGGAATTTCTGTAACCAGTAGGCCTTTGCTAGCCACCTAGGATGGCTGAAACTCACCACATCAAAGTGAAATTCAAGTGGTGTAGTTCCCTTTTTGAGAAAGTCTTCTGAAACCTTCTTTAAGAAAAATTTGAGAACACCAGCTGTAATTTTTCTTCTTTGTATTTCAAATTTTTTGATATTCATAAATAATTTCCTCCCATTTTGTTAGACTTGCCTAACTGTAACTGTGCATCTCTGGTTATCTGCTACCTAAGAGTAGCATAAACAAGTCTGCAGTTTATGTGTGATGTAGGGTCGGACGAGGAACCTCTGGTTAATTCTCTGATTAATGAGGAAAGACATCAGATATCACAAGTATGGGAATAGTTCATGTGATCCGGGGAAATCTACTTTTCCAGTTCTGATGTGAGACAGAGGAATAGCAGAGTGATGCCCAGTACTGCTGTGGGCGCAAAATCTGTACCCATCATTAAGTATGAATGAGTAAATCCTAAAAGGAACCAAAGACATCTGACTCCGAATGGCTGGGGTTGTTTATTTCCTACTTGCAAATGGGTGTGGGAGAGGGTCACCCATGTTTGGATGGGTTCAAAGATTTGGGTTGGGAGAGTGTTTTTCACAACTCCTCCTTAGACCCGGCTCAAGGCTCTGCTTTCAAATAAATGTTTCCAGAGGAGGAACATGTGGATGGCATTTCAATGCAGCACTTTGGCCTCACAAATGAGTGTGCAGAGGTGCTCAAAGCAGAAGCCAGACATGTGCAAAGTCCCACATATGCCCCTACCTTCCAGGTGCCCACAGACGTGGAGAAATGTCAGGATCGGATGGAGTGCTTCAATGCTGATCTGAAGGCCGACATGGAGCGGTGGCAGAACAACAAGCGGCAGGACTTCCGGCAGCTGCTCATGGGCTTGGCCGACAAGAACATCCAGTATTATGAGAAGGTAAAGAGGGGCCAGCGTAGCTTTAGTTTCTAGTGACCACAGCCTCTCCCAAGAGCCTGCAGGAATCCAGAAGCAGGGATCCGCTCTTCCCTCTTCTTCCCACACCCAGCTCTTGCCCTCACCCAGCTGTGCTGAGTTGGAAGCAGAGGTCTGGGAACTCACAGGTTCTCCTTGCGTCCTTGCTCTGCAATTCTGGCAGCCTGTTATTTCCCAAATTCAGACCTCAGTGCATGGGAGTGGCCAGTTAGTGGAGGCTTGGGGCTTGCTTTACTATTCCCCATTGTTTCACATGCATGGCTTCTTCACTTTCTTGTGCCATGGAACCCTTTGGGGTGAAGCCAATATAGACTCTTTATGAAAATACTGTTTTTGGGTTTTTTTTTGGGGGGGGGTATTAGGGTTTGAACAGGGCCTACACGTTGAGCCGCTCCACCAGCCCTTTTTTCGTGAAGGGCTTTTTCAAGATATGGTTTCGCAAACTATTTGCCCAGGCTGGCTTCAAACCATGATCTTCCCGATTTCTGCCCCCTGAGTAGCTAGGATTATAGGCATGAGCCGCCAGCGACTGGCAACTGTTAGTTTTTATACTAGGCCTTAAAGTACTGTTTTTAAATACCAAAAACAAAGATGTGGATTACAAAAGAAAGTCATTCTATTAACCTTTTATCCTTACGCACAACTCCCATCAGTGCCAACTCCTCATTCAAGGTTTGCACCCAATGTATCCAACTCTAAATCATGTCTGCCAGTGATTTCTGATATTCCTTAAAAACCTAAAGTTATAGATAATGAATAGCCGATTGGGCTGGACGTTATGGGTTACACTTGTAATCCCAGCTACTTAGGAGGTGGTGATAAGAAGGATTGCAGTTCAGGGCCAACCTGGGTGAAAAAATGTTAGTGAGACCCTATCTCAAAGAACAAGCCAGGTGTGGTGGTATGTGCCTGTAATTCTAGCCACATAGGAAACACAGAGATAGGAGGATGCCCCAGGCAAAAGCACAAGGCCCTATCTGAAAAATGACTAAAGCAAAAAGGTCAGGGAATGTGGCTAAAGCTGTAGAGCACCTGCCTGGCAAGCCCAGTGCCTCAGTTCAAACCCCATATTGCAGATAAACAAATAAATAAATAGTCTGATCACAGTTCAACAAGTAACTTTCAGCCTGGAAGTGAAACTGTTGGAAACAGGACAGCCTCTCCGTGTACAGACAGGTGTTAACTCCACTCCTATGCCACCACCCAGCAACATGTCCTCATTGTAGGTTAGAAGCATCTGTGCATTGTGAGGACATAGGTAGTTCTGGCTGCTGCTCAGCAGTGGTGTGTCAGCTCCTTTCTCGGCAACTCGGGAGGAGGTGAGGAAACAGTGCTGGGGTGGCCCTTACTTGCTGTATTTTGGGAAGGGATTGTTCAGAGCCCGAGGAGAGAGGTGGCTACTCCTTTCCATTATTTCTCTGGACTCCTCCTGTGGTTCTGGGCTGGCTAGTGCTTTACATGTGTAATTTCATTAAATTTAAACTCACCATCACTTCAGGAGGGTTTTGTGATCCTCGGTTTACAGCTGAAGAAAACAAGGCTCAGCAAGTTTTAAAAACTGCCCGAGGTAGCCTAGTCTCTGAGTGACTGCACTAGAGTTCCACAGTCAGCCTTGGGATGTGACCCCAAGCCTTCAGAGCAGGCCAGCCCAAAGGGAATGATCACACCCATGTGAAGTTGAGGCCTTGTTCCTCTGCTGACTGTGCTGTTAGGCAGGATGCCACTGTTTCTTCATCTGTAAAATGGAACTGATCCTTCTCTACTGAATGACTGTGAGGATGCAGCGAAGTAATGCACGTGTGAGTACCTGCAACATGCCCAGCAGTGATAGGCACTCCCTTCTCTCCACTGTGCAGTGGCCTTCCCACCACTCCCAGACTAACCAGGTCTGACGTCTCCTCCATGCCTCTTGGGGATGAGTCCCATGTTTTCTGGTGCCCTGGCATCCAACCTAGGTCTAATGTCCGTGTTTGTTTATTATACTGCAAGTGGTCACTATCTTAGAGCCTAGTCTTGGCTCCTACATATAATTGACAAATGATTTTGTATACTTGCTGGGTAAAAAGGACTGTGTTTACAAAAACTGATAAACAGCAGGACTTCTGCCTTCAAGGAACCACCCAGTCTAGTAGAGGACATGCATTAGTGATAGAATCTCACAGCTAAGAGCAAGATAGATTCTCTAAAGGAAAACAGGAAGCTAGGAGGAAATACTAGGGGGCAGGTGGAGTGACAGAAAAGGCCAATCTGTGAAAGCGACATTTATTCTAAGCTTCAGAAACAAAGACATGGAGGACATGTATTCTGGGCAAACAGAACAACATACGCAAGGTCCCTGAGGTAGGAAAGAGTTTGGCACATTTGGGGACTGAAAAGAAAGCTGGTATGGCCTTGGTTACTTATGGCTGATGTAGAAAGACTGTTCTAGATCTGAGGGGATGGCTTAGGGAGATAGTAGGACCCAGAATGCCAAGGACCACCCTCTGGGGCCCTTGCTAGAAGCCAGCTCCTTAGGCTCCTGGGCCTTCCTGATGTAGGACATTCTGGCTTCTTCTCTAACCTCAGAGCCACCGGTAGGAAGCAGGGAGCAGTTTCACCACTGCTTTTCCCAGCTTGACCTGAGGATGCCTCCCTCTTTCCTCCTACCTCGCAGGTGCCTCCCCAGGTGACTCAGCACAGAGTCCTACCTCACCCTGGGCTGTTGGTCAGAAAGGCCTCATGTGATGGACCTAGCCTTCTCTTTGTGCAAGAGGCTGCTCAAAGGGAGGACCATGTCTGCTGAGCATTGCTCTCAGAGGCACTGCCAGAGTCTTCCAAGTTCCTGGCCTGTCACAGCAGCTAGAGTGAAATGAGCTCATGTAGTGAAAAGAACCTGAATTTGCATTCTTATTAGAACCATGAATCATGTGGTGATGGATATAAGCTATTTAACAATGTATGGGCATAACAAAGGTCCATTGTTGGGTTCCCTTCCCCCCATTCTTTTTTGGGAGATCCAGGAGTGGCCCAAACAAGCAAACCTGAGGTTGGTGAAGAAGACCAGGTTTTCTACCACCATCTGACTAGGTGGCCCACCAACACCAGAACAACATTCCATGTTTGGGCTTCTTTAAGAGCTTCCTACCTGGGCTATTTTTTTTTTGTTTTTGTTTTTGTATTTTGTTTGCTTTTTCAAGGGAAAGATTTTTCTTCCAGTAAATCCATGAGGTATGAACTTCATGCACTGTCATGATTGCATGTAAGCCTTTTAGGGACACTGTTGTCTTTCGTAAAGACAGAGGTGCCACATTCCAAATAAACACCTGTTACCTCCCTTGTCGATACTAGTGCGGATAACACATGTAGGCACCACTAGATGAAGGTGACCCAGCAGGATTGACAGTGAACGACTAGACTAGAGCGGGCAGTAGGAAGCTAACCCTGAAATCTGAGACTCAGTACTGATACCACACGAATGTTGTCATTTCAGTGCCTCATGGCGTGGGAGTCGATTATTCCACTGCTGCAGGAGAAACAAGAGGCCAAGTAGGCTCTTCTTGGGACAGACAGAGACTCTTCTACCTACACAGGGCATGGCCCTGTACCAGAATGTCCCTGCAGTGCCAGAGAGGTGGCCTTGGGAAAATGACACAGAAGCACCTTTCATGTGTATTTTTCTCCTTCCCATTTCACCCCACAGTTGTTTTCAATTAATATTTATTCTTTGGTGGAGCCTGTGAGGCTAGAACCATCTCTCAGCAGAAGCATACCTCCGCATTATGAAGGAACCTCCTAAATGGAACACTATGAAGACTTGAAACAGGGACATGACAGCCCACAGCTGACGTCGTAACAGCTCATGAGTTTCTTCTTTGGAGACAGCTGAATTGCCTGTTATGGGGGAGAAACCAGGTCCTGCTTTCCAAGGACATGAGGAGGCATGAAGAGAAGGGAACTGTGGCTTGCTGTTGGAGACCCAGCGGCTCTGCCCTTGACCCCTGTGGGCACTGACTTGTCTCAGCCTAGATGGAGGTGTGAGTGCCTCCATAGAGAGTCCTTAATTTACAGTGGCCTGTAACTATGAGTGTGGCCTGCTGCCTGCTTGTGACGAGTGACATGTGATTTCTTATTTCTGGCTCACGTGGGGCCATTTAAATCAGTGTCCATATACATCCATACTTGAGTGAGCAAGCCATGTCCTGTCCTTATGCGATGTCTGGGAAGCTGATCAGAGTGCAATGCATTAGAAACTTTCTGTGTGAAATGAAGAAGGTGCGTTTATCTCTGTGAAGGTCTTTAGTGTGTTTCTTTTGCTTGTTAGTTGTTTTCACAGTTAGGACTAGACCTGTTAGGAAGTAGCTGTTGTTTTGCAGTCAGAGTAGCTCCTCTGGTTGAGAGCAGTGGTCCTACACCAAGCCCCGTGTCCCACGTCTGCTTTGTGCAATTTGCCTTTACCTCATCAAAAATACCTAGTTTAATATTTCCTACCATGCCCACCAAATGTTCGGGCAACCTTTTGCTGAGAGGCCTGGTATGTTGTATTGTTAGGACACAAGAAATTTGCTAACTCAGTGTGAATGAATGTTCTACATAAAGTGCTTTAACTTTTAACATTTCCTGGTCAGAAAGAAAAGTATTTACAGGGGTCTCAAAGATGACAGCTTAACAGACAACTAACTCTGCTTCTAGCTATAGTCTCAATTTGCAGCCTCGTCCCTGGCGACTGCTGGCTGTGTTTAAAGTCTTCAGTCTGTTGCCAGGTTTGCTTTTCAAATTGCCACAAAACCAACAGTCAAAGAGAATCTATCTTCCAACTCATTGTTCTTCCTGCTGAAAAGAAGCTACATGTCATGTTTGCATTCTTTCATCTGGCTCTTCCCGATAAAACCATAAATCTGAGCCTCCCATAAGCAGGAGTGGCTTTTTTTTTTTAATGTTTTTTTTTTTCTTTTTTTAGATGGAACAGTTAAAACACTGCTTCATATGCAAATTAACCTCCAAATACCAGTCAGCACGTGTGTTCCACTCTAAGTGCAGAGTTGACCTGTGTCAGCCGCAGCTAGGATACTCAGGACAACAGTTGGAGAGCATGGAACAGTTTGGTTCTTTTTCCTCATGTTTGACAAAGTCACAGTTGAAATGATAATTTTTTACATAAATCGGTACTTGCCTGTACTGCTAAACCCCATCTGTGCCATTCTAAAATCCTTTGATGTGAATTTTCAGTTTGGTACAAATAGAATTGATTCACCAAAGCAGAGGGGTAAGAACAATCCAGTGCCCCCAGCCCAAGTGATTCAGCATTTCATTCTACCTCTCAGCCATCGTGTTGGTGTGGGTGTGGATGTGCCAGTCCAACCTGAACGTGCTGCTAGAATCGGGATGTGTAGCTAGTCGTGACAGCCCTTTCAATACATGTAGAAGAAACCAGACTGGCCCAGCAGCAAATGTTCATCTTTGCAATGTGAAGCTTTGCCTTGTGGAATGTGGGCTTGAAACACGTCATCCAGCACAATCATGCTTGGAAAGAAAGGTGGAAAGTGACAAGGAAGCTAGAATCTGATAACCTGCTGGTAGCTGATGCCCAGGGTTACCCTGTGTACTGGTTACTGGGAAAAGATGGCAGCCCTTCAAAAACAGCAGCTGGCTTGTAGCCAGGAGGGATGGGAAGGGGAACAGGATCCATAGTCACTTCTCATCGTGGAAGGCAGAGTACTGGCTCTGAAGGCACCTTGAGGTTTTCTCTGGCTCTGTTTGTTTGGTCCCTGTGTGATGTTCCTATGCCTTGAAACACCAGAAAGAGCTGAAACAATGTAAACTTCTATTCCAGCAGAGCCAGGAGAACTGTGTACGTAACAGACTTACATGGAGAAATGGTTCTTCCGCAGAAGAGACTCTTGTCTCTATCTTCATGCTGCCATCTGATGGGATGAGGAGGCTGGCCCAGAAGGAAGGGGACAAAAGGCAGTGAAGGGGACTCTCCTGCCCATCCCACTCTGTGGCTCTCTCACGCCCCTCAGGCTCAGCAGTCCCAAGTCTTTCTCTGTTCATCTTGGTCAAGCACAGAGATTCCTCATGAGATGTGTAACTCAGGATGAGTTTGGGGAGGCTTCATCACCCCTCCTTCTGGAGCCCACAGTCTCCAATCCCCCCATATTTATTTTCCATGAGATTTTGGCTTGAGGTCACACTTTACCTCAGGCAGAGGGACAGAGATAGATTTTGAGACTTGAGGATGATGACAGTAGAAGTCATCCCTAGCAACTGCCCAGGTCCTGAGATGTGAACAGTTTCCTGCCAAGAATGAGAGAATTCCTAGAAAGTGAGATTTGAGAGATGCAAATAATGTAAAAGCGAGAACTGTGATTTGGAGCAGGTGTGGACCCAGTGCTTCCTTCTGTGGGGGACTGTGCTCTGCTCAAGGCAAGGAGTGGCTGCTGTGAATGAGGAGGGAACTCACTGCTCAGACTGTCCTAGGATTGGGTCTTATCCCTTGATAATGTGTGATAATGATTGCCAGTGAGCTGAAAGTGTGATGGGGGTGATGGGCTTCACCAGGCTGCTCTTGATGCCTTTGTGTGGCTAAAATGACTCTAGGGATGGTAGCAAATGTATTTTCTTGCCAGATTCCAGCCCCACAAGTGTACTCTAGATGTTGCGTGTTCTAGATGTTCTTGCCACTCTATGTGAGGGAACTGCTCGTGCAGCTGTCTTGGCTGAGGGCCTGACGAGAAGTCCTGCTTTAGAGGTGGGCCTGATGACATTGTGGCGGTGCAAATGAGGTTTCTCTTAGGATAGTAGAGTTTGTGTCACTTGATCCTGCCCAGTATCATTGAAAGTGCAGGGAGCTGGCTCTGTTTTGATAATGTCATTGATTGTGGACTGGTGATTCCCTGTACTCCATCCTGAGCTAGTGACATAGGACAAAGAACAATGTCAAAAAGGTCCAAGACTGTGTTGGCCTCATCTCTTTGGGCCTTGAAGTGGGTTGGAACTGGGTTCTACTCTGGCTAGATGGGGCTCCTGGTCACCCTAAAGGGTGATTCCTCCTAGAAGATCAACTGCCTGTGGTCAGAGCAGGGAACACCCTTGAGGACCCCACCTTCCCAGTCGCCTATTACAAGAGCCTGTAGGAACTGAGTGAGCTAGTTACATAGCTGGATAACACTGCCTTGACCACCCTCATTTGCAAAAGTATGTTGGGAGTTTGGGTTTGCCTTCTCACTTTCAAAAGCCCTTAAGATGGCAACAGATTGGACGTGCCCTCTCGTTGGTTATGTTTTTCTACTCATATGACAGGTGACACTTATTGGTACATTTGAAGACAATGTCCTCTCCTAGGCCAGACTTACCAATGGAGCAGGTGGTGTTAGAGCTGTTCTCCTCATCTTTGCTTTTAACTCAATGAACAATCCAGGAATTCAGTTTTTCACCAATTCACTCTGTAGGTTGTCATCTTTTTGTCTTAAAAATGTCTGGTCTTCCCACAGCTACACATATCAGTGGTGTGCAGAGGCTGTCTGCATCCAGAAAGGTTAAGGTGAGGACTGTGTTACAGGGAATGAACTGCTCTCTTAATCATATGTGTTTGAAATGTGTCCTGGGTATGACTGTCTGTGTGGCAGAAAAACATGTCATCCAGCTAGTTTTTACTACTCTAGATAATCTGTATATAAGTGCTATGAAAACAATAACTTTTAGCAAACCAATAAGATACTTGTCTCATATAAGCATTCTATGCATTTAGCACTTGAAAATCAACAAATCCAGAATTTTAAAGAATTGTCCCAGACTGTTAATAGCCTAACTCTGCTCTTTGAGAATTTGTCAGTACCTACTAATATGCCTTATTCTTCAACTAGTGTTTTAAAATTTCTGGGTAGAAAGCATTTTAGGAAGTGTTAAGCAGTCTTCAGCTTACATGCTAGCAGTCTAACATAGTCTTCAGTCTTTAAGAAACAAGTCAGAAAGGGAGGGTTCAAATTAGGATGGCCTTTTGGGAGGAGAGAACTAAATACTGATATTGCCAAATGATATTTTTAATATTAAGGAAACACAGGGACCACAACACGTTTTGTTGTTTTAAAGTGTGAAAGATTCATTTAGTGCCTTTTGGCATCCTTTTGATTGTAGAGGATATGGTGTCAGCATTGACAAATCATATGGATACAAAGAACTCTATACATTATGACAATATTAAAGGTTTACCCTGATTCTGAGGTCAGCTTTGTAAGGTACTATGGGGGCCTCATAGGAGCATGTTTTGGATGGAATTTTCCACAGGTTGAAATGCCAAAAACATCAAACCTATTATGTTGACTCGCATAATTGAATCCGTTTTTGCAGAGCCATCTGTCACAGCTAGTGATGGAGTGTTGCCTATGTACCTCTCCCAAAACCCCCGCCCTGGCATCAAGTGACTCTGGGCTCTCTGTAGACCGGGTCAGAGCAGCTAACACCTGTCCACACTCCTGTTGGACAGGCTCGTTCAGTCTTAGGCCAACATTCTGTCAGGAATGATACTGGAAAGGGGAAGGGGAAGTCAATTTTTCCTAGTGTGGCAGTGGGGAGAGGGGAAAGTAGATTGTAAACCAAAATGTGAGTTGCCATTAATAAAGAACGGCTGTGTCAGTGGGGCCTTCAACGGATAACAACCAGCATCTCCTAACAGCACTGTTCACTGGGATGCACGCCCCGAGGCTTCGGGCCAGTCCCATAGACTTCCTTGTTCATCGTGTTTCTGTGCCTGCGCCCTTCATCCCTGTGCGTCAGGAACGCATGGAGAGACGACCTATGTCTGATGTACTCCCACGAAACAAACTGCCAGCAAACTTTCTAACTTGTATTTTAACTGTTCAAGAAGAGATTAAAATGCGTGCTTAGGGCATGTCCAAATTATGGACTGTGTTTCTTATTTTTAGAAATCATTCTTTACATTTAAAAATTTAAAAGAGAAATTAAAAAAAAAAAAAGCCTTCTGAGGTATTGATCAAGTCCTGGTGTAAATGTGTTCTCTCTCTATGCTGCCATTAAGCCAAAACAAAAGCTGTGAAAATAAAGTGCTTGAGAGAATGTGTGACGATAAGAACGTGATTTATTTAGAGTGAAGTCTTTGTCTCATGAAGCTACCAAATGTTAAAAAGAATGTCACCTTTTTTTCTTTGTTACTGAACCCAGAGATTATAAAATGAAAAAAAAAGTTTTTTGTTGAATTTTTGATGCTGGCACAGGGTTTTTGTCCACTTTTGTTTTTCATGTATCTGTGTATAAAAAAATCTGTTCATTGTTTACTGTGGGATTAGTATTACATTTTGAGGTAAACAAATAATTTGTATTG